TTATATCTCTCTCTCTCTCTCTCTCTCTCTCTCTCTCTCTCTCTCTCTCGTTCACTTTGACTTGGGTCATTGCTTTGTAGTGGAAATCTTTTTGGGTGTCTGTCATTTTTAGCTAATTTCGACAATTATGTTCAGATTCTGATCTCTGTGAGGTTGATCTCCATATTTCGTTTTGTAAATCATACAATTCAGATCATGAAGCGATTTATGCATTTTCTCTGAATTGTCTATTCATGTTTTCCCGAAAATTTCGTATTTTTGTTGATTTAAAGCAAAAGAAGAATGAATGAGTGTTAATGGTGACATTCTGATCATGGAGGTAATTGGGTTTCTTTAGTTTTTCGAGGGAAGCGCTCGAGGTGAGTGCAGAGCTTGTGAAGATAAACCCCGAGATCTACACTGCTTGGAATTATCGAAAGATTGCTGTCGATAAATTTCTGGAAGCTGTATCCGACCCTGTTTTGATCAAGAACATCGTAGATGAAGAACTCAGAGTGGTTTGTTTTCCTATATTGTAATATGTAGTTTATTCATTGTTTTTAATCTTTTATAAGCATTTTGGACTTCCCCTATTAAATGAGTTGTTGGATTTAATCAAGGGCATACTAGGCAAAGAACTTAGACTGATATATTTACTTGTATAACGCATTTCTCCTTTATTTGTTGGTTCTTAATCCTTTATAAACCTTTTGGAGAACCCCCAGTTGTTACTCATTTTTTGGATTTTATATGGAGATGGTGCTCGCTTAATTTTGATGAATTGATGAATTGATGGGGGTTGTAGAAATCGAATTTTCTTCACATAATGTGTGATGCACTTTTTGACTATCTAGTACTTATATGATCACGGTTGTTTACTTATTTGATTTCGTTTAATTATGGAGTAGGTTGAGAATGCTCTTAAACAGAACTATAAGTCTTATGGTGCTTGGCATCATAGGAAGTGGGTGCTTGGCAAAGGGTTCTCGTCTCTTGATCGTGAGCTTTGGCTTCTAGACAAGTTTCTTGAAGCAGATTCGCGTAATTTCCATGGTTGGAATCACCGGAGGTTGCTATTTTTTCTCAAAGATAAACTTCTGTTATTAATATTGTTTTCTCATAATCAAGCGAATTTTTAATTCATAGAAAATATCTACAAGTTTATTTTCTGCAGTTCTTAAAATAATAAACTACCATTTTTGATAATGGTGGGCTTTAATAAGGTGAGGTTTGGTAATGGTGGGCTTTAATACAAGTTAACTTATCTTATTTGGATTTGGTAAATTATTCATTTTTCAGTGGATGATGGTATGTTGTGTTCCAAGGCCAAATCCACTGTATGTTTTCACTGAAAGATGGTGGTGTAAAATTTAAATGAACAAGGATGGATGTGATCCATCCTAGCTGATCTCCAACCATTCCTTAGTGGCAAGGGATGGTGGATGCAGCCTTTAAGTATTGTATGCTATGGTTCATTGGACTATGTCATACTTCCCTGTTGGATTTTTTGAGGTCATCAATGAATGTTGGAGCTCAACCTGAAATGTTCATCATTTTGGGTGGCGTAAGATTTGTTGCAGCATTGAAGAATATCAAGGATGAGGAGGAGATAAAGTTTTCCGAGGAGAAAATTAATAATGATTTCAGCAACTATTCTGCATGGCATAATCACAGGTACAGAAGTCATGGTTTTGCATGTATCATTTTGTTGCTTCCTTTTATTTACTCTAATATGATGTTCACTCAATGTTTTATGTTGTTATTTATTTTTTATGCCTTAAATAGTGCGATTATGCTTAATTATTTTTCTTAGAAGTGACCAAAATATTCGTTTATTTGCATTCAATGCTGGTGCAGTTGAGTGAATAAATTGAGGGAAGGGTGAACTTTTTCATGATTCAGAGCCATTTCCTTGAGTTCATGTAGGATTTTCCAATCACTTGTAATTTTGGGGTTCTATTTATTTTGTATCCCATGAATCTGATAAGTTTATTTGTCTCAACATTATGTGTGGTTTTCTCAAAGGAACTCTCGCAATCTCTTTCATATGCCTGTGTTGCTGTGCGATTTGTTCCCTTTACGTGCCTTATGTGGCTGTAGATATTCATTGGGTTATCTTCTCTTCCACCTCTCTCTCTCTCTCTTTGCAATTCACTTTCACAACATCATATTCATTTCTTAAAGTCTCTCTCTCTCTCTCTGCAATTCACTTTCACAGCATCATATTCATTTCTTAAAGTCTCTCTCTCTCTCTCTCTCTGCAATTCACTTTCACAGCATCATATTCATTTCTTAAAGTCTTGGGTGCTTGATGAAAATCTAACATTGGTTGTGTTTTTCAGTCGACTTTTGGCGCAGTTGGTGAAGCGAGACAGCCATGGAAACTTTCCAAATGAGTGTGGTTTGAGTGAGGAAAGTGAAAAACTCTTGAAATCCGAGTACTATCTTGCGCACAATGCTCTGTTCTGTGACCCTGAAGATCAGGCTGGGTGGTTTAATTATCTTGGGCTTCTGGATCTAACAGTTGCACCAAAGGCTCCATTGCTTACTGCTTCTTGGCCATCTCATGGCTCAAATCTCACATTAAGCTCTATAGTGCAGCCTGGTTTTTGCACATCTAATGGATGCAAAACTTCTATTTCCAGAGAAAGAGTTTTTCCTCTAATTCTCTATTTTAATCAAGCTGTTGAAGGTGTGAACAATTCCACTGTTACTGTGAGTTCTACATGCATAGAGAAGCGCCACCTTAATTGGAGGCCACTTTCAACAGATGGCCTGGGAAAATCAAAATCTTGGATTACATATATGAGTGTTCCTGATGTAGCAAATCCTTTAGAACTCTGTCAATTTGATGTTAGTGTTGGTGACTCACAAGGCATTATTTCCCTGAATGGATATCACTATGGCCTTCCTACAAAGTTTGAGTTTAAGTTGAATCCCTCCTCCTCAGAATATAGCAGAAGAGAAGTAAATCATGATATGGTAGTTTGGAAAGATGAATGCTTTACTAAATTTGATAGCCTTATTCTGGACCTTAATCTTCCATTAACAACTTCTAGTCATCAAAGGATTGGTGTTCACAACAGAGTCCATGCAACTGAATGGCAGTTGGACACTTTGAAATCTGGGATTGATCTTTTCAGATGCTTGTTGTCAATAACTGATTGGTTAGTCTTTTTTCTTTTGCATCGATTGGTTAGTCTGTATTAATTTAAGGCCTTTCTGAATGATTTGATAGTTGATATTATTGCTGTTAGAATGCAAAATATATCCTACAATATTTGTTTACTTTCCACATTTCAACTCTTCGCAGCAAAATTGGAAGGCTCACCCTGGCACGATTATTAACATCTTACAATATCATGGTTGATGGGTTTCCATGTACAAGCAAAGGTAGTCAGTGGGAAGAAGTTCTAGACCTTTTTAGCAGTCTGCTAAAGATGGATCCAACGCATGCTCATTATTACAAGGATCAACACAGTATGGTCCTGATTGAGCAGGTAACTTTTATTGTTTTCTCCTTTGATTCTGTTATGTTATGGCTTAATTTTATCATAAATTAGTAGAATTCTTGTTGCCATTTTTTTTTTTTTTTTAAAGTGTATTATGATTATGGAACTGTTTTTGCATATTGTCCATTTATTTTTGTCAAATATCACTTATTTATCACTATGGAATGAGGTTTGCTTCCTGAAAAGATTATATGATAATGCATTTCTTTTTTGTTTCCTTAATTATTGAACCATGGTTAAGAGCACAGATTCAAGCTCAGACTTGCTAGGGCCCTGGGTCTGAATCAGACCAAAACTCGATTTATGACCTGGTGAGACTTGGGAAAATCCTATGGTTTCTGGATCTGAGTGACTTGGGCAACTCCAAACTTCAGTAACTGGGTTTTCAGACACTCTTATTCAATGCAATTTAGGAACATAATGGGCATCGAAGTAACCTATGGTATAGTTATTGTGAGTTCTCCTTCGGGCTGCTCATATACTGGAGATCTTGACTTGTTACTTAGAGAGTGCCTTATTTTGTTTTCGTTGGCTGAGTTGCATATAGTGAGACAAGTTTTTGGTGGACCTATGTTACTTAGGCTTGGTTAAGTATACATTATATTCGGAGTATTTGAAGCATATGAAAAATATGGAATTCTCTTGCCTTGCTGATGTTCCCATAATCTTGTCTTTGTTAGGATATAAAAGATTCCTTCTCCATTGTTAATACTTGAATAGTACTCGCTTCACACACATTTGGGCTTATGGGGAAAATTTGTCGAAGATTTGGATAAAAGATCAACGGTCAGCTGTCCGATGTTATAATAGTGCAAGGAAAGTCAAATCCAGCAGGAAATGTTGCAAACTGATGATACTTTTTCTATGTCATCATCATCATCATCATTGTCATAGCCTTTTTCCAATTAACTGCAATAGGCTGATATTTTTTCCAGTGTTAAAAAATGTGGATTCGGCCACCTAGGCGTTTGGGTGCCTGGCCGCCTAGGCGCCCCCACCTGAGCAGGGTGCCCTCACCAAAATTGAAACCCTCCCACCCCAAAACAAAAAAAACAAGGGAGTTCTTACGGCATGGTTTTAAGCCTTGGGGAGTTTTTAGGGCATGGTTTTAAGCCTTGAGAGTTTGTAAGGCAATTTTAGTGTCCCAAACTCATCGTGAAATAGACGAAAATGTAATAGTGCAATCATGTAACAGATTTACGGATACAAGTCTCAAAGAGATTGTAACTTGTAAAACATTAAAATGCTTGAAATCCCAAATTTCATTGTAGGAAATTAGAAGTCTAGACTAGAAACGATACACAAAGTCAACAAGGCAAAATAAAAAAACATAACACATTGTAATACATTAAGATATCACATAATCAATTATCTATCAAATAAAGTAAAACAAAAATAATAAAATATCAAAACATGACGCTTTGTACAAAAAAGGAATCAACTATTTATGTAAGAATATGATATATGCTCACTTTCATCGTCCAAATGAGAAAAAATTCAATTAATCCCAAAAAAACAATCGATTTTTTTTTTTTTGAAGTTTTAACTGTATTGAAAGGGGAAGAGGAGTATAAGCGTCACACGAGGTGACCCACAAGCCGGGTTCCTCGGCAAAAAAATGTAGGGGGCGACCCACAAGTCGGGTCCCTCCACAAAAAATAGGCTACCCTAATAGGGTCCCTGTACAAAAAATGGTTGGGGCTCAAGAGATCTGCCCATTACAGTCATATACAACAAGGATAACATGGGGATATAAACAAAACATCCGAGAGTCGTGCAACCATGCTGAGTGATGATTGTTGAAGTCTCCCAAGAGCTCAAGAGTGCTCCCTCCTTAGCGAAATGGTCTGCCAAGGCGTTTGACGTCTTCCAAGTATGCGTCCATGAGGCGACTGTATCCCTGCAAATATGCGTTATCTTATAAAAAATAGAGGCGAGAAACCAAGGTGGAGGTGCCCAAGTGATTATATTTTTTGCGTCTCTTTCAACTATCAGGGGTTGGGCCCACAAGCTGCTGAACAACTTGAGTCCTGTGAGTAAGGAGAGGGACTCAGCAAGCTGAGAGTCGGTATGACCAATATTTTGAGAGTAGAGGCCAAAATATTGCCTAAATGGTCTCTGAAGATCCCCCCACTCTTGAAGGACCTGGGTTGCCTAGAGAGTACCCATCGAAGTTGAGTTTCAAAAAGCTCTCAGGTGGTGGGGACCAGTTGTTAGCATGAGCTACCCGAGGGGGTTGGAAATGTAGGATTGCTGCTCAGTCTTGCAAGAATGATGAAGAGGGGACTCCTTTGAAGTCCCTACAGTTGGAGGCCCAAAAGATAACTTGAGAGGTGATCTTGTGGAAGAGCACTAAAGTGTTTTGCTCTGTCCAAATGACCGAATTAGTTGCCTCCATGGAGGCCTTCCATAGGAAACTGCCTGCCTTGGGCCAGACTAAGTCCAAAGAAAGTTTGAACAGAGCTGGTAGGGAGGATGGGGTTACCCATGAAAGGCCGAATAATCGCAGTAACCTGCTCCAAAGGTTGAAAGCAACCTCACAATGGATGAAGAGGTGGGGATTGCTTTCTTCTTCATGAAGATGCATTGCACATCGGTTGGCAATGGATATCCCTCTTCATTGAAGGTGGTCCACTGTAAGAGCTCTTTCAGGGGCAGCAATCCAATTAAAGGCTTGTTTTCTCAGTGGAGCCATTGAGGACCACAGTTTGGATCTACTGAGGATGGATAGTGGGGAAAGGTCAGGGGTTCCAAAAGTTTTCTATAAAATGAAGACACTGTGAACAGTCCTGAAGAGCAGGGGTCCACACAAGACAGTCGTGGCCTGTGAGGGCTAGGAAGGTAGAGTGAAGTAAAGAAGAGAGGGAGATGAATTCAAAGGTTTCAGAGTCAGACAAGGGATGTTTGAAAGAGGGGTTCCAAAATGCTGGCCGGAAATGGACATTTCCTCCGCAATCGTAGAATTGAAAGGTTATAGAGGGAAGGGTAGTCTTTGAAGGGTGTGTGCCCTAGCTAGAGATCTGGCTAGAATAAAATTCTATTTCCTCCCCTTGGATGGAATTTGATACAACTCATGAAGCGTGAGAGAGAAGACAAAATAGACTTCCAAGCCCCAGAGGCTCTAGAAGTTGACCTATTTTTCGAAAGCCAAGGGTTTGATGGTATTTTATATTTGCAATGGATAAGGTAGAATTTCTTATTAAAAAGGTAGAATTTCTTATTATCAGTTGCTAATAAGTTGACCTATCATCGGCATATTGAAGGTGCGAGACCACTGGTCCTTTGACACAACTATTAAAAAGCCTGAAAGAAGTCCAACTTGACAAGGATTAGCTGAAAATTTCCGCTGCAATGGCAAAAAGGAAGGGACAGAGGATCCCCTTGCCTGAGGCCCTTGGAAGAGGGAAAGAAACCCTTAAGGGTGCCATTTATGAGAATGAAGAAGAAAGGTTTGGAATAACAACCCTTCATCCAGGTCCTCCACCTGTCTCCGAATAACAACCCTTCATCCAGGTCCTCCACCTGTCTCCTCTAGGAAAAGAGCCCGGGCTTAATTGGTTAGCCCTTCGACGATCTCAGCAACACTACGTCGCATGGTTGATTCTTACCGAAAGGTAGGGGCCTCTCCCCTTACCTAATTCACCCTGAAAGAAAAAAAGTCAATCTTTTAACTACAAACATGTAAATATATCGTAAAAGAAAAAACACATGATTCATAACATAATATGTTTGTAGCAAAATAAAATCAAACCCTCTTTCAAATATGATAGTACTAAAATATTAAAATTAAATTGATGCCGGTGAAAACCTCGTCTATTGGGCCGCTAAAAGTTCTCAAAATCAACTACTAGGAGCTCCAAATCCACCCACGAACTATTGCCTTTGTTTTGGGAAGAAATCGAATAAAAATTTTATCAATCTTTCGATAAATCACAAAGGAGTGGTTGTTAGGGCGTTTTTCTCACTCTAAAGGCCATGGTTTTTGTTTTGGGGGTTTAGAATACCCCCCAAAACCCTTTTTTGGCCCTCACTGAGGGTTTTTTTCCACCTGTCTGCAAAGTGTCATGGGGCAGCACCTAGGCGGGTGCCCATAGATGGGGCGCATAATGACCCCACCCAGACAGCACCTAGGTTTTTTTAAAATTTTTTCGCCTAGGCCGCCTAGGTGGTTGGGCGGCCGAATTTTCGAACACTGACTTTTTCTATATAATGAATCCAAAAGATTCTTTTCTATATGTAAGGTGAAAACTGGTTTTTTGTGAAGTATTTGATGAAATACAACTCCAATCACATAAAACCATTGACACACACAAAATTCACCACCAAATTCACAAAACTATGACGTCTTATATATGCGTTCAGGAGGAGTTCCAAGTGCTCGTCAGTCGCCTGTTACAATTGGATCCTTTTTGGTGGGGAGAAAACCCTTGATTGGACTGTAAAAACGTGAGAAATCTGGCAAAACAGAAGAAAAACACAGAACTGCAGATATGTGACATGACACAGTGTATGATTCTGTTTGTATCGAGAGATGATGACAATGGGGAACCGTGTTTTAGCTGTGTCCTTTGCTAAGTCTGCTGTGCCTTTGCAGCAAGCTCAAATTTCAATCTTCTTCTTGGTCGAATTGTGGTTTATGTGCTTGATATCTGAAAGTAAGACATTGTGCTAGCTCTGATCGCTGAATTCCTTTCGGTTCCTCAGAATTGTCTTTCTTTTGGGGGCTGTCTTTCTTTCTTTTTATAGCTCTGTGCTGATTTCTTGCTCTTCAAGGCCCTGAGTGTCACTCTCCTCTAAAAATGATCAAGGCCCTCTCCAAATGGCCAAGCCATCGGTATTTAGAGCCAAAGTGAAGGAGGAGGAGGGGGGGAGATTAGGGTTACTTGTCTCCCAAGCAACTTGGGGAGCTAGTTTGGAATGAGGATATTTCAAAGTTAGGGCGAGTTTTCCAAGAAGCCACATGGGACAGGTGATGTTTCAATCCGGTGACGCCATAGCAAATGAGTTTCATGTTGGGGGTAGTTTCATCACCCAAATTGATCTTTTTGTGTGGCTTTGTGCCAAAATGTTTTTTGATAGGCGTGGGTAGGGGTATATTTTTGCCCAAAAACTCAGTACAACATGGACACATCCATACAACCTTCTACACGCACACACATAAATATTAAAAGAATTTTAAAATATAATTTACTAGCGTAACAAATAAAACATGTAAAATTTAGAAATATAAATGTATGTTATGCAAGAAAAATAAGAATATAAAAATATATTCTTTTATTTATGCAAAAATAATGTTTTGCAAAATGCATGTTGCACATCTTTCATGGTGTGTCAGTAGACTCAGATATAATTTGATATCATTAGAGGGATGGCAGGGTTGAATTCAACTGTTCAACAAAGTGCAATTTATATTCTAGAGTCAAGACTATAAATCGTGTTTAAGTTATAGAGGCTCTTTGTGGAACAATCTGAATATGATAATTACATTGTAGTGAGTGAATATAATATATTTACATAAATATCATATTTTTATAATATATTTACATAAATATCATAATTTTATGTTTTATGAGAGAGTTCTTTTGTTTTGGGCCGTGTTTAATAATATTTAATTAGTTTGACTTCTCTCATCTACTATGTTCATGTTTTAGTTTAAATGACCATCATCTAACATATAAAAAATTATTCGTTTGCAACACATGTAAGCACTTTGCATGGTGGTAGATAGTTCACTTCAACAGATCACAGATTCTAAACCTACCCTTGACATTAATTTTTGAAACTGCATCCTACAAAATAGTTCAAAAAAGGTAGTCATTCAAAGAACCTCTCACAAGCACAAGGATTTGATAATATGGCTTCTTGGGTTATAAAAACAAGTACTTTAGTGTATAGAACAATGATGACACTTCTATATATAGTGTCAATACAATTGAAAATCAGTAGAATGGCCTGGCACATATGGTCCATGTGTCAGGTCTGAGATTTATGGAGTGTCCAGGCAACACTGGTTTGAATGATTTTGATTTTTATTTCTTTCTTATGCTATTGTTATTAATAATTTAATATACCATGTAATAGACCATTCTCGGCCAAGGAGAAAAAATATGACAATAAAATAAAAAAAAAGGAAAAAAAATGAGGAAAGCATGGGTTGCATCTTGTATTATCACCAGTGGCAAGCTTTGTAAATTCAATGAGAGATGGCCGTATTCTTATATGGAAAATTGCAGGTAACTTCTGATAGGGATACCCTACTGAAGCACTGTTGGCACCATGAAAAACAAACATCCATCGGCAGTCTTAGCAATGTATGGCTACGCCTCAATAACTTATCACTATCACGCATTGGTTCTTTTGAGCGCTTATTGTGGGTCCAGATGTTAGACCTCAGTCACAATGAGCTTCGATCAATTGAAGGTCAGTGTCTTCATCATTATATGATCTACTGTATCATTATATGAATTATCTCTTGGTTGTTCTTGGTATCTGTACCCCCCTGGTTCTGAAGACCTGCAGTGGTACCCCCCTGGTTTCTATGCATGCAAGGTCTTACAAATGTTGGTACCTTCGGACCTGTACTTATAACTTTAACCTCTTGTCATAGTTATAGTGGCTTTGATATATTATCTCCTTTTTCTTCTTTGCTACATTGCCTGTTGCAAATAGCCAAATGGATATAATGGTTGTTAATGATTTGTCCTGACAGTATAGGTATGCTTTCTGATTTGCATTCTTCCATTGTCATATTTGAGAGGCTTGAATGAGGAACATATTTGTGTTTTTTTTTTTGCCTTTTGAAGAAAGGACAATGCAAAGGGTGTCCATGACTTGTCGGCAGTATTTAGTGTGACATGGACTCAGCATAAAACAGAAATTTGAATTGCAAATACTTCAGAAACACATATAAGTATCACATGTGAGGGAGACAAAAGAATACAAAACACCCGGTATTCTTTATTTGTTTGTAGCATTCCATGATTCTCGTAAGAAATTGGTTCTTAATCCTCCTAAATTTTTTTTAACTCTCCTTCAAGTTCTGATACTTGAAGTGGCAGAAGTAGCTCCTCCGTCTGAAGATTGCCTAGAGAAGCGTTGAGCTTGCAGAGGGTATTGGCTTGGTATCTCGAAATTTTTCTTGAAGTAAAATTCTTTGCTACACCAAGGAAGCACCATGCTGCTAATTCTGAAAGGTTTTAACTGTGTGCATGAAGAGGTAAATGTTTGGTTTTAGATCTTGAGCATTTTGAACTTGAAACGTGTAGAGAAATTTTGGAGGACAAAGAAAGATGATAACGACAATACCTCTCCCATGGGTGGCAAATGTTACCTTTGCACATTGGTTGGTATTACAGGTTTTTGGAAACCAAAACTCATAGTTTTCCTGTTGTCAAGTATATGATTGAGAGAAAGTTTGGCAGAATAGGTGCCTCATGCTCATTGTTCCCTTTTTGGGATATTACCTGTAGGGAATTTATCAGGATCTTATTGTGTTTGTCTTTTTTATCTTGAATTTATGTGATATTTAGCAGGACTTTTGCATGTTAAATTAATATACTATTTATTGTAGAATATGTTTTTATGAAGATTAGTAACATGAATTCAAGTTGTACAAGATAAGAAAAACAATTATGTTAAATGTCTTATAAAGGATGAAATTGACAATAATTTGGATGTATATAAGATCAATATATCGTAAATCGTTATCCATTTTAATAGCTCTAACATATCCATATTGATTCCTTGTAAATTGCTCCTCATTTTCTTTATTGAGATTTTAGAGCAAGTTTTAGGTGAGTCACAGATTTCTTTTCAGATTCGAATTGCTAATTTTGCTTGTAGATCACAAACATGTTATTTTAAGGGAAGTTTTCTATCACGATGATAACTGGAAGCTTTAAAATTTCGTTATGAATTGAATTTACATGGATACTATCCGAGTTATTATCACCATTTAAACTTACCATTTTATCTTTGATTGAGATAGTTGGCAGCATTTGAACTTATCGTTTTATTACAGGAGAAATAATATTTTATTGCTCTTAAGGCTTAAGAAGTTAATATTTAAGGGCAGTTAATGTGTGCATACTCTCTTGATAGATGGGACCAACTTCAGCTAACATATGTGACTTGGTTTGGTGCTTCACACTAATGAGTATTTTACAAAGGGGCAACTTCCCCCTAAGAAATTCTCCGAACTGCTAGGAAGTCCAAGAATTTTTCTCTTCCCCCTCCCACTCTCTCTCTCTCTCTCACACACACATACACACACACACACTCACACTCACACATGCACGTGCATTTTGACACACATCCCAGCTATCAGAAGGAATGATGTGCCTATCCCACTATAGAAACCTAGATAACGGCCATGAGGCCATCTAGATACCACCCAACTCCCAAAGCAAAAAACAAATTTTTCTTTTTTTTGGTTTAGTGCAAAGCATAAACAATGTCAGCCTCATCTCTGATTATCTTTCTAATATAAGTCAAGTGGTGATTACCATGTTAATATAAGTCATAGATTCACTTGCTACCAATTGCAATATTTACATGTAGGTTATGGCCCGCAGATGTTTTTGGCTCGGGTATGTGTTGATGTGCACTGACAACTTTACTTTGGGGATCTGCACATTTGTTTGAAAAGTGCAAAAAGCAGGAGTTTAGTTCCCACCTCCTAACTTGGAGTGGTTCCCTTTCTCTGCGTCATTTAAATGAGCACTACTCTTTACTTTTAGATCATCATCATCATCCGAGCCTTGTCCCAACCATTTAGAGTCGGTTACATGAATCTTGTTCCACTATTCTGGCCAAATTCTCAGGCACACCAATAGATTCAAGATTCATAAAAGGGCCCGGTTTCTATGCGGCCAAGCCTGCACATGTAGAAATGCAGGCCTCTTAATAAATCTATTTTTGAGATGGATTTTTAAGACTTAATTGTTAAGGACATGTAATCTCTAACATGGAGATCATGAATATGAAAAAATAAATAAATTTTAAGAACTAGAAATAATAATTCTAGTAAGAAAACATTTGGATCGTTAGTTTCCATTGTTTTTAGATGGAACACCTACTTGTATCCATCTTTAAGATGGATGCTTTATACTTTTTGGACCGCATATTTAGAAATGTGGTCCAGTCAGCATGAAACAATTTTCCTTCATAAAAAGATGTGGCAAAGTTTTACGCTGGTTGCTTACCTAACACAACCCTCCTCTTTTATCGGGCTTGGGATTGGCATGACTGGCTCGAGACTGCCATGGCGGAGTTACCTCTTTACTTTAGATACCTTCAGAATTTCAACATTCAAGATTAAGGTACACCTTTAGACCTTACCGACAGATGCAGTTCGAGTGTCAGAAACCCCCTACGATGGCCTAAAAATCTTTTTTTACCCCTATTATGAAAAAGCTCTAAAAACGGTACAGATTAAGCATATCTATAATTACTTGAAATTCTTAAAAATGGATGGTCCAGCTAATGTGTTGCAAGATGCACTATTTTTAGGACTTAAAATTCTTTTTTTTCATATCCATATATGTCGAGGTCGAGATGATCAATTGAAGGGTTTTCTAGCTTTGAAACAACTTTCTCTGATGGGTTGTTTGAATGTTTTTTATAATATATGATTGTCATCTTATATAAACTCCTGGGGTACGGTTTACATAAGGTGTGAAGTGTGAACCTTAATCAAATGTAAGGCACCTCACCAAACCCTACTGCAGGATGCATGTTAGTGCCGGAAACCTCTACTATGGCTTGAAAGTTTATTTCCGCCCATAATTATAAAATTTAAAGCTAAAAAAATGGGGCAAATCAAGCAGATTTATCTACTTGAAAATATTAAAAATGGAAGGTCCCGATAATGTGTTCCATGATCCACTATTTTTAGGATTTGAATTTCTTTTTGCTTCATATCCATACATCTCGAGGTTGAGATCAATTTGAGGGTTTTTCTTGCACTGGAAGCACTTTTTGTGGTGGCTTTTGACGTGCATCTTACTTTTATAATTTGAGGGTTGACTCCTTAAACTGTTCCAAATTTTGAAAACCTCGTGGTTTTAAAATTGTTGGTGTTTGGTCTAGCAGAAATATCCAAACTGGCCCTTCAGGTGTTCACTAAAAGAGCTGCTTTACAGCTTGCGATGGTAAAGCTGTAAATAAGCCTAGTTGCAAATAGGAAGCAGTTTGACATTTATCTCCATTTTAGACTATTTTCCTCCCTTGCTCTTATGTAGTTGTGCTAGGATGTGGGCCTTCTTTGATCATCGATTTTCCCTGAAAGCTTAAATTAACTATTAGAAAAAAAAAAGAGAAGAACACTTGAATTTGCATTCATTGACCTCTATCAAATAAAGAGCGTCTTTTTCTTTTGGATAAGTAGCTCGCATTCATCTATTTGAAATAAAGATGGTAGCTTTCATTTTGTTGGAAGGAGAAGATTTGCTGTCCAGTTTAGCAAATTTACAGTAATTATATTTGATTAGCATTTGGGTTACTTTATACCTTAACAGAGTAGACCATCTGTGGTTGACCTGGATCTGTAGCCAGTAGTTCACTCTGGTGTCCTCTGAATTGTGAATGATGGTGGTCAGGGTGCTGCTTGCATATGTGTTTGTGTGTGTGTGTGTGGGGGGGGGGGGGGGGTGCATGCGTTGGATGCTGGTGGTTGGGATGTGTGATTGTGAGACGCTGATTACTTTGTTACAGGTATGGAGTCAATGCAACTGCTAACTTGCTTGAATTTAAGCCACAATCAGTTCGGAAGTTTCACATCATTGGAACCTCTGAAACTGATAAATAGTTTAAGGGTATTGGATATATCTCACAATGAGATAGGCGGCCACTCCATCGACACGACAAGGTACACCTGCTCTTCTCCTCTCACCCATGCACCTGGAGTCACTTGGGATTCCAAAGCCTTTGTGGGGGATCAAGAGGTCAGATCAGATAATTGGGAACTGATATTGATATTTAAAAACATGCCTTTGACTCAGTTAGATATTGCAGGGAACCCTGGAAATTATGAAAAGTGTAGAACTATATTGATTAAAGCCCTTCCCAATCTTAAGTGGCTTGATGGCGTCTCTGTAGAATGATATTGGATTAGATAAATGGTTCTATTTTGTACATTGGTTTTTTTAATCTTATAAAATGAAATTATTATTTGGGTAATTTCTCATGCTTGCAAATGGTTAAGGTACAATCTTTTTCTACGTCATATCTCTTGGGAGGTTCAACCTATTTCTACAATGTATTTCTGGGGAGGTTTCTCAGGCTCTTGAGAGGTGACATTTGAGAGGTTTCATTGCTTTCATTCCTTTTCTGATGCTTTCTCCTCGGATGTAATTATGGGGCAATGCGGCTAATCTCCTTAACTGAGTGAGCATAGTTTCATATGGTGTACCCCTGTACGATATCTGCAATGGGACTTCATTTTGATCATCTGATTAGCAGGAACAAGGAAAAGCATACAAACGAGTTCCTATTAAGGCAGAGCACCTTCATTAAAGAATTGAGTCATTTGGAAGTAACTGAGAAAACTGTTTTTATTTTTTGGTACCCCCGAGTTATGAGCATATTTACATGGTGTTTCGTTAAGAGAGGTGTCAGTACTTATTCCAAGTACTTTACATATGTCCAAAGATCCATTGCTATCTGATCTCAATACCACACAATGAGTGAGCCGCGAACCATGTCATAGGCACGCCAATTGTGTTTTTTAGCTGTATTAATATATGAAATTGTCGACTCACTTCTCGCCATCTGATTTACGGCAAACAACCAAGTGTCTTCAAATTCATGTAAATCATGCAAATGGAGAGATATAAAGTTTACTTTTGTTAGTAAGTAATAATAGAAGGGCCTGTACTCCCAAATAGTGCAGTCCAAGCTACTCTTAAATGGACCTCTTGTTGATCGAGTGCAGCAATAATCGGGAATCAACCTGAGTGGGATGCTAACATCCACTTGGATATCGATAATATGGACCCAAGTGACAAGTTGAATTTCTCCTCCTGTTCGAGTTCGATTCCAGCTCCTATCATTCTCGAATATAGTTCCTCAATTCAAAACTAGGAAATGTCATCTACTTTGACATGAGTTGGTGGGACTAACATGTAGCCATAGATAATATTTATTCGAACCATCTATTAGAGGGAATGGATAGTGGATGACGCTTTGAGCAGCATACACCACAATCCTTTGAATTATGTCATACCATCCACAGAGAGAGAGTATTGCAGAGCATTACATTGTAGAAGATTCATTTAAGTAGGAATTGGGCTTGAGCTTGAGTGATTAGCGGCTGAGGTTTAGCAGCCCTCTATCTCAAGTTCAATTCCGACCATTAAAATATCGAAAAAACGAAGAAGAAAAAAGACTGATAAAAAGTTACAGAAAAAGAGCAAAATAACCGCATACTAGAAAAGAAAGCAGTTACTCAATTCTCAACAAAGTTAAAGATTGAATCCTGGGTCAGGGTGGTAGTACCCCCACACCTTAGTCACTAGGTTTTGATTTCCAGTCCTTGATTTCCATTCCCACCGACAACACGCCACTAACACCTTCAAAAAAACTAAATCCTAAATTATTTGAAAAAAAGGGTAGGGATCGGTCTTCCCCACTGAATTACCCAAAAAAAAAAGAAGATATAATCACAGAAACGAAGAAATCAAAATTCTCAATAAATATTACAAACTTACATTGTTCATGGATACAATCACAAACATAGAAACAGGAAATAGTAAGCCATTTTGGGGAGCCAAAATGATAACAATAACACAAGTCTCAGTTTTGAAAGATCTCCATAGATGATAATTTGCTTCGGTAACCAAAATCCAATTGATGGAAGCTGAGTTAAACTCAAGTTTTCAGATTTCAAATTTCTCCAAAAAATGCAACTTCTTTGGAACAATTTCGCTGAGCTCATGTTCTGCAAAGGTAAAATAATATACTGAGAATCTAAGTACCATTCCCCAAAACCCTAGTTTCATTGGACAGGAAACCACTTATTGGTAACCCATCTGACAAAACCAGTTCTTTGGTTCTCAAAATCTGAAGAGAAGATTTAGCTCTCATTAATGATCACAGCATTCTAAAGTCCTCCAACACAAGTCGAACAGAACCAGTTCTCAGGGGCCAAAGAAACCTAATTCTTAGGGATGATCAAGTAAAAATTTCCTCATATAAATCCTAAACGATAAATACTCAATTTAGATGGAAACCAGTGATCTCAGATCCCATGAAAACCCTACCACAAATTCTCAATTTGATGGAAACGGGTGATCTCAGATCCCATGAAAACCCTCATTATTACAACATAGCAATATTCGTGCAACTTTGAAGAAAACCAGCTCTCAGATCTCACAAGAAAACACTAATTATTTCATGGTCAGAGAAGAACTGATTCTTATGAATGATCAAAATCCATAGCCTCCATCCCCTGAAGATTAACTTAATTTATCTGAAAACCCTAATCACCGCAAACCCCGTTCTTCCCAAAACGCTAAAACCAGCAAGAAAATAAAACCCCAAATCCTCATGAGATGCTAGCAAGCCCAGCCTTTGCCTCCTCACTCGAAGGTTCAAGCCTCAAAGCATTCTCAAAGGCCTTCTTAGCTTCATCCACCATCTCCTTCCTCAAATAACAGTCTCCCAACATGCAAAAAACCCTAGAATTCTCTAGCTCCTTCATCGTAATACCAGCAAGAAGATCAGCCATGGCTAGCTCGGCCCTATGTCGACTCTTGGGCTCCATTTTAAGCCTAATCTCCGCTCTCTTAAACAAAGCATCGGCCCTTTCAGATTTAGCTAGGCTTTTCAGAGCAGGAGGAGAGAGCGCATTGTCCAAAGAGGCTAGGGCTTGAGGAAGTTGCCCCAAAAGTTGCAGACCTAGGGCTTTGAGAATGTGAGCTGCTGCGTCTTTTGGATCTAGAGTCAGGGCTTGATCAGCTTGATTGAGTGAGGACCTGGCTAACGAGAGAGAGTCCTTTTTAGAGGGAGCAGAGCGAGCTTGAGCGAGAAGCTGAGCCCCCTGAATAAAGTGGCGTTTGGCTTGAGCCGATGAACGACCTCGAGCTCGCAACGGAGCTAGGACGCGAGCAGGGAAGTTGTAGGCCAAGAAAGCTAGGGCCAGGGCAAATATCAGCACAAGGCCTTGGACGAGAGTTCCAGTTTCAAGCTCCATTAGATTGAGTTGCAGGATTGGAAAAACCCTAATTGTGAAGGTTCTCTTGGTTATGCTTTCTCCTCCTCCTCCTTGCTCTGGTTCAAAATTGATAAAAAAAGAAAAAACCCAAAGCTTTTGCTGCTTCCTCTGGTAAGAAGAAGAAACCTTGATCTCTTTCCTCCCTGGTTTTTTCTTCTTTCTACTTCGAACCGGAAATGCTTAGTTTTCTTTCTCTGCAAATTCTCGTTTTGGATCCAATTCAAAAGCCCATGTTTGCTTTGTTTTCTTCTCCAAAACCCTAGAGCTGCTTCTGGTGGGAAGCCGAAACCCTAATCTTTTTAAGTCTTCTTGGTCGACTTCTCCAAATTCGGGTCAACAAAGCAAATCTACAAGAGAAAATAATATTTACGTGCCGTAAATACGTCCTCTTCATAACTGTCCAACAAATTTATTTTACGGTGATAAGCTAGTGGTGCTCACAGTGAGCACATGGAGCTATCTTCATTTTTCTTCTTTAATATAACCATTATTGAAATTTTTTTTTATAAAATATATATATATATTTTTTTACAAACCAAATCAAAGGACCAAAAAACTCACTATAACTTGGTGCCTAGGCAGGATCTTTGGAGGGGTGAACTGAAATGGCCATGGTCCTAACATTGCTTTTAAGTTTTATGCCGGCCATTTTCAGAACTCGAACCTGCCCTCTTGTGACCGGCTATCCAAACCTCTTACCATCACAGCCCCTAACCAGAAAAACCACTAAAACCGTACCCTTTTATCTCCTAAACCTGGTTGCAACTAAAACCCAAAATGTGTATCCTCTCTCTGCCATTGTATCTCACTAAATTGGCAACTTGTGGGTTTTTAGAGAGAGAAGCAATGACTATGAATATGGCATGAACAAATAATGGCATTGAATAGGGATTAGCTTTGAGGGAAGAATTTCTCTCCCCTTATAACCTGCATTGTTCAAAAGGCCCTTGAATTTAGAGATAGAGAGATTAAAAGTGGTGGAGAGCTTCACCATGAGAAGCAAGCAAGTACCTTTGAATATATATTTGCAGGAGTTCGATTATTGAAAGGTTGCTCAATAAATTATTGAGCCTGGGACATAGCGTGGAGAGATGGGAACGACAAATATGATTAACTTTGGCAGGAATTAAGCTTGAGATGTAGCATTGCAAATCGTTAAGCGCCACCAAACCAAACCAAACCCCGCCCCCCCCTCCTGCGTTCATTAAGTAATTTTCTTCCAAGGATTTTACTCGTAGCTCATAATATAGATGTTTTTATTTAAGGGAAAAGATACAATAAGTTCATTTTCGGAACAAGGTGATCGTAGTTGTTTTTAATTGTTCTCTCCCTCTCTTGGAAATTTTCATCTAATGATTCAAAAGTGTATCTGAAAATTTCATCAAAAAAAATCATTATGAGTAGGTCTTTTACCAAAGGAGTGAGTAGGTCTTTTACCCAGTGAGTAAATATATAGCAAGCTTCCTGCAAGGGGCTACATTTACTTCTTTGAAGCAATTCAGTATTAATAACAAGAGCAATGCTCACATAGGAATATACTGCACAATAACCCCTTGGGCAAAGAGCTATTTGGGAGCAATTGTTTTTTTATTCAAAATTAGGAAACATCTAAACGTAATTATTTTGCCCTCTAAAATTGGACAATTCCTAATCAATCTCGGGACATTATTTTTTGAGGCACATAAAGCGAGTTTTTTTTATTTTTTTGAGTTTGGCTTTTAGGTTTCGGATGTTGCTCTCCTAAACTTTGGGCTCCAAACAATAGTGACCTTGATTTTTATTTGAAGGAGCAAAATCACAACATGCTCCTGCAAGAGCAGGAAATCTTTTGGCTAATAACAAAAGCCTTCTGACCTACTCGGTGCGAATGAATGACGATCGAAGAGTGACATATTAGCTTCTTTACGAAATATTTCTCAAACATTTAAGTTTAGAAATAAAAAATGTATAGTTTAAAAATAAAACAGTTGACTAGGCCCTAAGTTCCCTTTGGAAAATTTTCAGAAGTATCATCCAAAGTGATTCTCAAAATATTAGCTTTCTACCGGATATTATAGGGATATTTCTTCTTAAGAACCCAAATTTGCATGGAACAAGGAAAAATTATAAATATTACAAAAAGAATTATTTATCTTCTTTGTTTTAAATCTAATTTTCTATTTACTTAAATTTTCCAAATTTATTATGGCAAAAACCAATTTTTTTTCCAAAAACTAATACCTAGTTTGGATGTTAAATTAAAAAAAGCTTGTCATTAAAAAAACTTGCAACATTTTCAAATGAGCATTTGAAAAACTTCAAAATTTTTCTTTCAAAACCTATTTCTTTTTACTTCCCCCCAGCCCATTAAAACCTACAATGCCTCCGGGAGCCAAAAACCTCAAAAAACACCAAAAGCTCCTAGGCCAAAACCCCAAAGCCCAAAGAAACCAGCTTAAAAGTTGAGATCATTGCCCATAAAACCTCCAAGCAAATCTTGGTTTTATGATTTTTCTCTTTTTGGAACATGAGAGAGAAACACAAGAGCGAAAGATTAGAGTTTGGATGCCCTCAAATAATTGAAGTAAAAAGAGAAACCATCCTAGAAGAAATTGAGGGTGTTAGAAGCAGACAGAGAAGCTGAATAAAGAGAAGTAATCTATAAAATAAGATCATCAAATTTTCAAACAGCACTATGAAATGGCAATTTCTCCAAGAAGTAATCTATATACTTTACATTTACTAATGAAATTATATACTATGAGACTAGTTTTATCTTTAATATAAAGTCACAATTACTCCTAACTATTAGATGAGTGTATTACAAAGTTCGAGAAATTTGTTTTGGCACATCAGTCTAGTCAATGATACTCTTACAATCCCTTGATTTGAAATTTGACAGACAAAAATAATTGTAACCTCCTTGTACTAAAAATAAATGATCTCTTTATATACTTTTCCTTTATTTATTCACTCAGCGAAAATTAATTATTACATACCATAATAATCTGGAAAAGGAGTACATATCCTCTCTTATTTTTTTTGACCAAAAATTAATTATTACAAACCATAATAATCTGGAAAAGGAAGTACATATCCTCTCTCTTATTTATTTATTTGACAAGAGTAACAAAATAAGTACATATCCTCTCTCTCTCTCTCTCTCTCTCTCTCTCTCGCTCTCTTATTTTGAACCCTATTTTCCCTTCTGAAAAATTCCTAGAGAACCACTCTGCATTTACATTTCAAACAATTGGGGGGAAGGGGAATTTGCAGTTGAAAAAACAATGTACCAGAGTTGAGGATGGTTGATGAAGGCATCATTCCAGGTACCAGTGGTCTGATTAAATGAAAGCACCCCCTGGACTTCTTTAGGGGCTTCCCATATTTACAAGTTGAGGGGACCTGAGTAGTTTCTTGAGCGAGTCAACTATAGTTGTGAATGATGGACGCTGCTTTGGATCACTGCCAATATGCCAGTAAAATATATCAGAGCATTATGTTTATAATGCCAGTCAAATATATCAGCCTATTATATTTATATAGAGAGGAAACTCAATGAACTTGTGTTTAAAGAAAAAAAAGAGAAAGTTGTTACTGACAGACAAAGTAATGCATTAGTCATCAAAATTTCTATGAATGTTGTCCAAAACTCAAATGTGACATTAGGTCAAGACTGAAATAGGCATGACAGCCAAATCAATAATATTTTGAGGAATTGAAACTACGTAAAATGTTTGCCATTCAAAAATGAAAGGGAAAAATTGATCTCATTTTATATGAAATACTGTAAGCTACCAATCAATATTCCCATGAATTGTCTTCGGCTGATATCGAAACACATATACCACCTTTCCCTCTCTGTCTCATATGTGTAAGTCCTACCAATTAATGCTTTCATTAGGACAAGAACAACCAATCTCTCATGAAATATCAATATTTATCTGACAGTAAAAGTTTAGGACAAGTTACGTGCAGCAACAATTAGTATTAGGAGGGAAAACGTGCAATGGCTACAACTGAGTTTCAGCTAGACTTACTTGGCCCAACAGGACTCCATGATGGCAGTCAACACTGGACTTGTATTCTGAGGGATAGGTAGTCTCCTGTTTTGGAAGGCAACCGCACCAACTACCTGAAACTTAACCTAGTTACTCTCGCTTACAGAAGCAAAAAGAAAAAAGCAGGAGTCTTCAAAACATACATGCAATTGAGAGAGAGAGAGAGAGAGAGAGAGAGAGAGAGAGAGCACTGTGCGAGGACGTAACGTACCACTACCGAACTGTGCGTGTCACAGCTCCACTAGATGACACAAGCTGTACACATCAGTATTCTCTATTGTACGGCTCCCGACGAAGAAC